GTCTGAGACCTTCATCACTTCGGGCTTTCCTCTCACATTAAGCTGACACGCCGCAATATAACTGGAATACTGTTTAAAGCGGGTGGAGTTTATTGGAAGCATGATTGGATACCCTACCAGACATTTCATTTCATTATGCTACCAGATAATAGACCACCTCTGTGTCGAGTGGTAGAGCGTCTGCCTGGAGAGTGGAAGGTACAGGGTTCAATCCCTGGCCATGTCATAGTAAAAGATGTTAAAAGATGGTACTTGTTGTTAGCCTGCCTGGTGCTTGGCGTTAAGGGACTAAAACAAGGACTGGTCGGCTTGGAGTCAGTATACTGTGTCTGAGTGGGGTATTCATGTTAAACTGCAGCATGGTATCTCTGTAGCTTAGAACCCAGTACTATAAAATCAGTGTCAGTTCGGACTAGTACAAGCAGCCACCCCCACACACATGCCTGCACATCGCTATATAAGTGCAATTATCTTGAATGTGATGTTAAACCCCATTTCACCTCACTACACCAGATAATAATAATGAATGTTGAAATATTGTTGGAAGTGGTCTAAAACTCAACTTACTTAATCACTTGGTGAGAGGTGAGAGTAACAGTTCAAGAATGAACTGTAATCTGTTTTGAATATTGACCTATGTAATCTGTAAGTAATCTGACCCGCACCTGTGTCAGAAGTGGGTGGGTTTTAAGTCCTGTCAGTCACCTGCCTGCCACGATAGTGGGCATGTACCCAGGACAACTTACTTTATCTGTACACGGAAACTCAGGTAACATTTACATTGTGACCATTTTAGGAGTTCATGGTTTCTCATGCATGTTGGGTAGCCTAATGGTTTTCTGTCTACCTGGGTTTTTCTTTTACAGCAATCGTACATATGAATGTAATTTCAAGAAATTCTTATCCTGAGCCTTGATATACGTGAGTAAATATGTTGTTCTCAACCAAGCAAGTTTAATCCCTGGTCCCTGCTGTTGGTCCTGGATGTTGGTTAAGTATAGTTACACATTGAGATTGTTGAGACCAAAATCCTTTTCGGTATATTGAGTCGATATTGTTTGAGAACGTAGTGTCTGTGTGAGTGAGTTCTGATTTAATACAGCTTTGAACAGTATTTCACATCTCAGTTATGATATATCACACTGTGTCACCTTAATCATTTGAGCCCATTTATTTATGCATGTTGAACTTTGGTGCAAGGCGTACTCATGGTGAAGCACTGACATCAAGGTCATAATCGGGGTGTAGCACTCACATCAAGCATCATCATGATTATTATCAGTGTTTGAAATATTTTCAAAACCCAGAAAGACAGTTGGCCGGGTGACCCATAAGTGTTGCCTGCCCTTCTTCAAAGTTACCTGCCCACCTTCAGACATTGTAAATATAATTTTTTGGCAAAAATAAGAGACAAATCAGGTAATGATTCAGTTGAAATTGCAAAAAATGCAAAAAATTACCAGAGAATCTAAAACAAGTTTTGATAAAACTGAATATGTAGGCAGTCGGACAGGCTGATGAATATTCATGCAGCCCAACAGAAAAGTTACCAGCCACGGGCAGGCAGGCAGGCAGGCAGTTATTTCAGACACAGATTATTAGCAAAGCTAACGTCAAAGCTGATGGTCATTATTTTTACTGGTCCCAGGCATCAAATTTGGGGTCCCAGATGTTACCTTAGCAACATCTTCATAGAATGTGTGAACCTCTTTCCTGAGTCGTGACTCACCTGGAAGGTGCTGTTTTGAGAATTATCAGTTGATATTAATAGTACTAGCCTTTCTGTCTGAAGGTATATACGGCATGTAAACACGTGTCACACTTCACTTGACTTCCGAGAATTGTAATGGCATCATAACACTGGACATACTCAGTGAGCCTCCTGTCTACAGAAGTCTACCCAGGGTCATCCCCTGAAGTAGCCATCAAAACATATACCCTCTTCGCCTCAGATAGGACCCATGAAGATTCCGGGATAGAATAGGTCCTCATCAACCCATGCTTGCCGTAAAAGGTGACTATGCTTGTCGTAAAAGGCGACTAACGGGATCGGGTGGTCAGGCTCGCTGACTTGGTTGATGCATGTCATCGATCTCAATTGCGTGGATCGATGCTCATGATATCAATCACTGGATTGTCTGGTCCAGACTCGGGCATTTACAGACTGCCGTCATATAGCTGTAATATTGCTGAATGAGGCGTTAAACAACAAACCAACCAACCAACCAATTGCCTCAGATAGTAAACATCTGTGGAAGATATTTTTGTGTTCATCACTTGTCCGAGCCTGCCATGAAATCAAATCTTGGTAAGTTAACTTTTAAGGATTCCCGAAGAATAAAAATAGAGTGTATGATAGGCCTGATGGACATACATACACTTCAGGACCAGTGTCTCCCGAAGGAGTACAATGAAGAGTTGTGGGATTTCTAAGTATCATGTTGACTTATGGTAAGCAGGGCTATGAAGCCAGTGTTGTATATATAGATTTGTTGTGTTGGGAGACAGTGGTGTTGGACTTATATTAGTGAAGTCCTCTATATGCTGAGGTATTGATCCTGCTGCTCTCTCCAACTGCTCTTCCGTTTGTTGCTGCCACTGCCACAAGGCCGCAGGGAGAACATGCCCTCGGTTGTTATTGTACTGGCTAAGTCCTAGACTTCGTCATTGGCTTAATGGCGCTTCTGATCTGCAGTGAGATCTCTGTCGAGACATGGAAAATTCAGGAAGGACTGGTGACATTTCCTTGTGGACAACCATTTTTGGCATTAGGCAGATAATTATTGTGTACTAGTGAAAATGAAAATGAATGTCTCTCCCTGGATCTGTAGGATTCATGCTCAGTCATTTTTTCATGTCCGTCCTTGCTTTTTGTCTATTAACCAATAATCATTATTAATAAGATAACATGTACCACTGGCATGACCAGTTTGAATCTGAATGTTAATTTTTCATGAGAAAAAGTTTAATAGTCCAAGTGGGTTGTTAGGGTGTCATTTTCAGTGTATTTTAGAGTTTATTTATTGTCATCTGAGTCATGAGGTTGAAAGAAGCTGCACTTGTGCATCAGACTAATGGCTAAAATGGTAGACAAGGATATATGTGTGATGGGAATCTTGTCTAGCTGAAATTTCCCAAGTCTAAGTGTGTTTCTGAAGGTAGACTTGGTGTTTAATCATTGGTGTTTCAATATGGTATGGACTAGTGACAGTTACACCTTGACTCTCTTAAATGCAGCACTGGTATCAGATTTGAAAAATCCACGACAATTTCTGATTGTATGTCTATGTACTATATCATGCTGTATGTAAAGTCAAGGTAATCAACTTGGAAAGGTTTCACTTCGGTAGATATCATTCATGTCAAGGTAGCTGACAAGTTTGTCATTTTCTTAAAACATCATTTTTCAGCCAAAGTTGAGCCCTAGAGCAACTGTAAAGTGCTCCAGGTGGCGTTGAATGTTCTTAAACTGTAGTCTTATTTTATGACTTTGTCCCTCATTTCAGTAAAAACTTGAATTGATTATGGTTTTTTATTTTTTTTTGTTGGATACATGTTCTGTGAAGTCTTTGAATCATTGTCAGTGGCTCCAAATCTTGTACTAGAAACAAGTTGTCCATACAAAGACTTCACTTTTAAGAACACTGTTAAAAAGCTTTTTCATGATCAAAATAACCAGACAGATAAAGGCCTATGTGCCCTCATGTGGGTCTTGTAATGTTTATGTTGCCCGGGGGAATATCTAATTATTGCTTATATTGTATATACCAAACTTAACTTGAAACTTAACCAAGAACGTCTACTAGCCCGAATAGTGATAACATAGCAATACCCCAGAAGATGTTTGAAATTCTACTAGTGCTTGCTTTTCACATTAACAGCGGGCCAGTGCTAATTTCCATCCCAGACATGCTAAATGATTTGCTAATCCAATTTAAGTACACCCTCCATGGCCCCCTGGTGTCTGCCTAATGTCATTTCATTTCTAATTTTTAAGTTTTTCAGAAACAAAACCATGATGACTCTCTATGCATTGCTAGGTAAAAGTGATTTCCTTTTTCTACTTGAGCAGTTCCGGTCATATAATCAAGGCAAGCTGTGTTAAATGATTGCTAAATAACTTTTATACATATGATCAGGGATAGAAATCATTGGCTATATCCAACTGTTCTGCAGCTTTTTTAAGACAAGTGGTTTATGTTAAATGACCAGATTCTGTCAGGCAACTGGTCCATTAGATTTTCGCTAGTCTTGGACTAATTGGCTCACAGGAGTATCTAACCCAGATGATAAAAATATTGACATTCCACCACATATGATATAATGGCTGACCCTACTGTATGTCAAAATCATTTATGTGGACCAACATACATGTACCTTTTATCAATTTTAGGATTGTTTGTTTATTGTTTAACACTGCTCTCAGCAGTATTCCAGCTGGGGGTCTGTAAATAATCAAGTCTGGACCAGACAATCCAGTGATTGACATCAAGAGCATCGATCTGTGCAGTTGGTATACGACGACATGCATCAACCAAGTCAGCAAGCTTGACCAGCCGATCCTGTTTCTTACGGCAAGCATGGGTTGCTAAAGACCTATTCTCTACCCGGATCTTCACGGAAATTTATCAATTTTGAGTGTGAATGTTTCAAAATATAGAAATTAACCTGAAACAGCATAAGCAAGTTGACTGAATCCAAGTCTAGGTGATTTCCATTTTCCTCCAGGCTGTCTAAATTTTACAGTGGGCATCAGAGGCCAGCTCAGGTCACACCTAACTAACTACATAACTCCCTTACATAACATCATGTCCAGCGAGCCATGTGCACAGTTGTGCAGGAGGTAGTAACAATGACTGGCATGTTGTGTACAAGGGTCATAGGGAGGTCGGCCTTGTCCCTGAAGGCCTGGTGGACACAGCCTGCTAGCCAGCTAGCCAGTTACGGTCAATAACCCCTGTGCCTCACCAAGTTAGCCAGTGAGCCAAGGTGGTCGGAACTGGTCAGGTGGTGCTGTGGTCGTGTGTACAGTCAGCTACTCGCAGCAGCTGCCAGACAACATCGTAAACATGTTATCGGAGCTTTGAAGATCTTCGCGTAGTGTGTATTAATTAGGCGTCCACCACATCCAGACAGATTATTTGACTATTAATAGTACCATTGACATTAGTCCTTCCTTGTGGATTTGATAACAGTCATGAAGGGAAATAGTCAAGAGGAGATATTTGTATTCAACGTGGCGGAAGGTGTAAACACTTGATGAGAGTGGCATATAAACAGGTACGGAGTAGTGTCAGTGTTGGATGGTGTCAAATACTGGAGCCGTGGGTCAGTGTATGTTAATCCTGCAGGGCTGACAATGCGACATACATACCGGCTGTCTGGCTCACCTGTCAGGCCTGTATGTCATCACATTGTTTGCAGTGGAGCTCATGAAAGCTGTCCTCATATGTCCAGCTTGAGGGCACTTGATAAGTATGCCAGCAGCCATTTGAACTGTTCTTGTTTGAACTTTGTAATGTATTTTTGTTGTTTATGCATATTTATGTTAGATCTTGCTTCGGTTCATTGACAAGTGCTTTTTAAAATTATGACAATTACAGAAAATCGAGCAGCTGTGGACATCATCTCTTTTTGCCTGTAGTCTTTAGATCTGACCTCCTAATTCACCTATTTTAATAGGTGTTATGACATGTTGTTATGACCATGATGACATAAAAGTATTTCATGATGAAAATTAAGACAATTATATTTGATTAAAAGTCGATTTGAGCATGTCAAGAGCTTTGATTGTCAATATGAATATTCACCATGATAACCAGCACTGGTGTTCACTGAAAGACATTTTGCCTCAAGATTGATTGGTTTGTTTGTGACGATGTTCAATTTGAAGTCTATTACTAAACTCTTCTTTTATAAATATGTTGGCTGGACATGGTAAATGCTTTTTCCTTTCGCAAGATGAATTAAGGGATTGTTTGGTAGATTATGGATCATGTTATGGTCAGCAGAAACAGTACCAGTGCAATAGGCAGGCAAAGAACACTAAATCATTTACAAAAGTTTTGTTTTGGATTAAAGCAACAATTACAAACACCAATTACTATGGTACTTTAATTCACATTTTACAAACTTTCTGAAATCCAAAATCTCTATTATGATCACGATTACTAAATGACAAGCGTGTCGAACGATGTTTACCTATCCTAACTCTAAAGCCAAACTGACATTACGACACAGGGTGGTCGACACGTGGCGCATATGCATGCTTTTTTCATGCTTTTAGATATGTATCCACAAGGTAAAGCAGTGTGCGCGAACTGTTTTCACACACAGAAACGAAACAGAACGACCTTTTCGGAAACATAGCATACTCACAGCAATAAACCTGTCATGACAATATCCTTATGTCCATCTTAATTGTAAAGATCAAGGGTTGCCTATACCCCCATCAGTATAGTACTGAGCTAGTCCAACCATAAGGAGTGCCCAGTCAAGATCAGTCAAGCATCCACTCAATGTGATCAACATGTTTATCCATGGTTTTTGTGGACATGCCTGAATTCTGATGCTTGTGAATAGAATCATGGTTAAAAAAATTATTTTTTATCGCATTTTAACCATGTTAACATGGTTGAAATCAAGATATTTTTTCCCCAAATATATTACTTTCTGCTTTTGTAGGATATGTATGGGATGAACAATATATGTAGTGAACAAAACCGATAGCTTTGAGTATGTCTTTGATCATGTTCCCGAGGCAAGTGAGTTAACTGACTGTAAAAGTCCAGTTTCCACCCTTGCCGAACTAGGCTGGTATTATGGAGTTACATTTTGTCTGCACTAAAGAGTCTATGCATAGTCCAATCACAATCATGCAACAAAATCGAAATTCGGTTAGTAAACTGTCATGCAGATTTTGGTCGATTGCAGGATTTTCAAAGCTTGTGCACCTCCAACTCGTTGTCAACAGATATTTTCTAAATCCCTTCATGTTTTTAATCAAGGTGCTCACATGATTTGATGCACTTCGTGATGTAAGACCCGTTTTATCACACTATAGATCTTGATTATCGATCAGATCATCTTGACTGGGCCAAAATTTTGTTTGTAGCAAATGCAAGTGAAATGAGAGGTGGAATCTGATTGGTCCATAGGAGAGGCATAGAAGGGACATAACTTGTAATAGCCACTGGTGGCGCTACGATCAAGCCCAGGAATTCCAGCATAGTTCGGCAAGGTTGGAAACTGGACTTTTAAAGTCAGTTAACCCCCTTGCCTCGGGAAGATGGTCATTGAATGACAAAGGGGATTTTCATCCCTTCCCATACCAGTCTTCTTTGGAGGAGTTGTTGCACACATTTGTGTGATCATGTAGGTGGTGAAATTCCACATTTCTGAAATGTTGGGTCAGCAGGTCCAAGTCTGTAAACCAGATGATAACAACATGAACAAGATAATGTCTTATCTTGACAGCAGGACATGCTGTGACAGATTAATTAACACAGCCACACTAGGTAATTGCTTGTTTTGTTTGTTTAACATCGCACTCAGTAATATTCCAAATATGTAATGGCAGTCTGTAAATAATCAACTCAAGACCAGACTATCCAGTGATTGACATCATGAGCATTGGGATCAATAACATGCAACCTAACCAAATCGCTGTGCCTGACCACCTGATCCATTTGGTGACCTCATATGACTGCATAGGTTGCTGGGGATAGTTATATTTGTGTTAACCATGAAATTTGCAGTGTGTGAAATCATTATTGTTTATATATTCATTTATAAGAATTGGGGGGCACGGGTGGCCCAGTCGTCTTAGGCGCCGCGATTCGCTGAGCAGAGTTGCATCCCTTGGGCACGCCAGAAACCTATGATTGTGGGTTTTGAATCCCGGTTCACCCCGATTATGTTTCTAGGTTTGTGAGCACCATACCCATGCTCATGGGTTTGACCGAAGTGGTAAACATCTGAGACCTGCGTCACTTCGGGCTAATGTTAAAAGCAACGTTAAATCCTACTCACTCACTTTAAGAATTTTTTGTGTTTATATTTATGAATGTAAAAATCTGTGTGCACACTTTACGTAAATCTGCTACGCAATATTTACACAGTGTGCACAATGGTTTTTCTGTTTATAATTCCATAGTACCCCAATAAACATGATAAATGCAAAATAATATTAAAGTGATTTCCTAAATGATCAGTCTGAAACCTGCATCACTTCGGGCTTTCCTCCTACATTAAGCTGACACGCCGTGATATAACCGGAATACTGTTAAAAGTGGTGTTAAACCCAACTCAGTCACTCACTCACTCTTAAATGATCATGTCATGTCATAACTCATACATAAATGCATTCTTGTCAATGACTGAAATAACTGATACAAGATGATGACAGCCATGGCGATTCCAGGTTAGAATAGGTCCCCAGCAAACCATGATTGCCATAAAAGGTGACTATGCTTGTCAGAAGAGGCAACTAACGGGATCAGGTGGTCAGGTTTGCCGACTTGGTTGATGCATGTCATCGTATCCCAATTGCGTGGATTGATGCTCATGATGTCCATCACTGAATTGTCTGGTCCAGACTCAATTATTTACAGACCGCTGTCATATAGCTGGAATACTGCCGAGTGCGGCGTTAAACAACAAACCAACGAACAAAATGTAAGATGACTTGGTGTTATTATGACAGCAGGCCACTGTAACCAGTTGCTAACCAATTCATGAACACAGCTACATGATGTAGTTGCTTGTACCATGTTGATGTTACATATCTTATCATGCTTATCATGCTTATCATGCTTATCATGCTTATCATGATGACATTGCTGTGTTATGAATGTCAATGTTTGCATGGTTAATGAGACTTGCTGAGACAGGAGGGGTGTACGTGCGCCAGCTAGGGATCGGTGTATTGCAAGTTACAAATGATGTTGAAAGATAAAAGGATGTTAAGTATGATTGAGGAAGTGGCTCCCCCTACTTCCTGTCATCTTTGGCTTGGGGCATGTATCCATCACCTTGCCCTGTGACAAACAGGGCCAGAAAGTATAGCCTATGTACCGCAGTCAACATAATAGTGGGCGGCTTTGTTCAAGCAGTCTGACAATAACTTTTAAGTCTCATAACTGAAACTTTCCAGTAGATTTTAGTGTTAATTTACAAAAACCAGGGCATGCTTATTGGGTCGTAAGAAATTGTACTCGTCCCAGGTTTTGGACTTTTGCTGACAGTACAACAAACCAAATGATTTTGTCTAAGTTTTCATAGTTTAGAATTTTCTAGTAGACATAATGGGTATTCAGCACTGTAATCTTCGTAGTGATTCATGTTTATATTCACCCTCGCAACAACTGATAACCTAATGAAAACATTTGCTTATAGGATGGTCAAAGGAGTTGGTGCTTCTTACATTGACTACGGTATGCACCTACCACAGACTGGGTAATGACCTTACTCACTGAGCGGAAATCAGGCTTGTGTATGTTAATGAATACAAAACAGCAGACCACAGACACCCAGCTTGTTTTGGACTTCCTTTGAGCTTTTTCTCATCATCAGTGTCAGAATTTATGAAGCCTATTATATTCTGATGAGCATAAACCGGATAGCCTTAAACATGGGGCCACAATGCTTTTACACATTTCATATGAAAAACAGTGTTATCCTTTTTGTAAAAAATCAATTGTGACAGGTGGTTTCCCATCTGTTTCAGATTTTTTAAGAATAACATGAGTTAAGTTATCCTTTTTGTGAAAAATCAATTAATGTGACAGGTGGTTTCCCATCTGTTTCAGATTTTTTAAGAATAACATGTGTTTGTGATTTGCTGTTTTTATATTTATTGGCAATGGTGGAATGTTGAATACTTGATCCATGTGAAACAGGACATGTTTGTAGTGGTCAGTAGCCATAGGTGAATGCCAGTAGCATCCTGAATAGGAAATATGGTTTATCACTCTAGTGGTAGGGGGATTAAGTAGTGAGGGCAGGGTAACCCGGGTACTGACTAACTCCACCCATGTTTAATCACTGGATACTGTAAATCTTGAAATTAACACAAGCGTGAATTCAATGCGAAAAATGCGAGTATTAAAAATCGCATTTATATCTACAATAAGACATTTTGGATAGCAGACATACCAACTAAGACATACCCTGAAAACAAACAACTATGTATTCCACATCACTGTTTATTGAGCAGCACTTGTAACAAGTATATATTAAACAATGTCATTCAAACACTAAATACATCCTGTGAATTGTCA